GGCTAATGCATCCATGGTCGCAATACAGGAAGTGTTTGAAGACAGAATTGTCAGTAGAGGACTGTGGCCTCCCAGATCCCCAGATCTCAGTATTTCTGATTATTATCTTTGGGGCAACCTGAAGCAAAAAGTCTACAAAAATAATCCCCGCAGCATTGATAGTCTTCAAAATGAAATTACACGCGTAATTCATTCAATTACCGTCGACGAACTGCAGAGAGTGTCGCGTAATTTATTTGTGAGATGCGCGGCATGTTTGCAAGCAGAAGGAGGTCACTTTCAGCACCTGTTATAAACCACGGTAAGTTATCTTTTTACTGTATTCTTATAAATGTGTGCATGTAGAGCAACTGATGGACGGAGACTCAGCGACACCACTACACTCACGCTATCGGGGAACGGCACTGCATCCGTTCTGCGGTGGTATGACTCACGGCAATTTGTAGCCGCGGCGCGCACTTGATTGTACGCACTGTATTATCAAGGCAACTGGTATGCCTGGACCCGGATGCCAATGGGGCATCCGTTGGCCCCTGCCATTATGCAACGTATGAGTATAGCAGTAGCAAGGCATTTGCATCGCTTGTTTGGTGTTGTCATGGTAGCCTACCTGGACGACTGGCTTCTCTTCTCAGAAGAAGACCTGCCAGCGCCGGCTATACTTCAAGAGTTGACACGTCTTGGTTTTACGATTAATGTGCAAAAGTCGGTAACTGTGCCCACCACGGACATAGTGTACCTTGGCTTACGGATCAACATCATACATGGAACACTTCGCCCCACAAATATGTGCCTAACACAACTACGATATCTCAGCCAACTTGTTCCACAAGCATCTCGGCAGGACTTGGCACGCATCGCAGGCTACCTGTCATGGCTGACATGGGCCATGGGTTGGCCGCAATTCCTAGCCCAGCTCATCTTCCAGAGGAATACTACATGGGTGGTTCTCCTAGACAACGCAGGGATACTTAGTGAGGCACGTTGTCTTCGACCTCCACTCCTGTCTAGACAATTATATACGTATGCCACTCCATGGTCCACGGCAGCCTTCTCTATTGGACCACCACGTCAAAGTTTAATGAGACATTATAATGACTACACACACTACTGTGTCTGGTTTAGCAGGAGTACTAACCCCACCTATAGGAACATGGTTGCGCCTAAGCCAACAATGAACATCAAGACACTTCAGGTTCATACAATAACATCCATACTACTGGGTGCTAACTTCACACTGAGTGGCTGGCTAGTAGGGGGTGACTCATGAAATAGGCCGAAAGTCCAGTCTCTCAATACACAAACTTCTGGCATACAAGATCATCCTCAAGCCCATCTGGACCTACGGATTACAACTCTGGGGGACAGCATCCAACTCATACATAGAAATACTGGAACGCTTCCAATCAAAAGTACTGCGCCTAATAACCAACGCGCCATGGTACGTCCCAAATACGATCATCAGGCGTGATCTTCAAATCAATACAATCAAGGAAGAGATTAGTCAATGGAGCTCCCAATACAGAGCTCGACTACATACACACCCCAACGAACTTGCAGCTCAACTACTTCAACCACCAGACCCAAGGCGCCTCAAACGACACCAGCCAATCGATCTGATCACCAGATTCAAAATATAATCTTAGTTAGTAGTTTAGTTTTAAGTTTAGCTTAAGTTTCTCCCCTTCTCCAACCAGGCCCCAACCTATTCATATACGGAGGGGAATTAATGAGCTCCCCTCCACACGTCATTTCACACAACTCACAACAATTTGCTAAATGTATTCATACAGATTGCAAATAAATGGGGATCTCAAAAAAAAAAAACCATCTAATAAAATGCAGCGCCTGCAAAATAAGGTTCCCCGCACCACTGGCAATTTTCCGAGGCGCACACCGGTCCGCGCCTTACACATGGCATTCAAAATCCCGTACGTATATGACTTTATAACAAAATTATGCAGGCAACAAGCAGAAGTCATACAAAATCATGAGAATGAGAATGTTCGCAACATCGGACAAGGCGAAGCCCGCCACAGAAAGTATAAGAGGCTTAAACTTGGGGGCGGTCAGGCATACGACCGTTCAAGTGACTAGACTGCCGTGGTGGCGAATAATACTGGAAATAGGGCGTAATCTGCTGTACCGAGCCTGGACTGACTGAGGCCTTGTATATATTGTACATAAAAGTAATACATAAGTGTGTATTGTAAATCTATGTAAATACAGACAGTGGACATATTAAAACAGACTGACTGACAAATGACAGACCCGACCTCTCGTCAGAGAGGGCGCCCCACACAGACAAGACGTAACTTCCATTCAAAAGAATGGGGCTCGGCACCAAGACAGACAGACTGACCGACCGTCAGTTGTAACATGACTTTGACTTAGAGTAGGGTCGTGCCAGTATAGTATAGTATAGTATCGTCTCCGTTGCTCGAAGAGGCAAACATTCTGCACGGCAGTGTCATGGCGGCACGCCGCATCCCCCTTCACACATACCAAAACGCTTTGTCATTCCTGGGTTGAGTGTCAATGAGGCAAGACATGGCGTTCGAGGAAAGATTAATCTCCACTGTACAAGAGTACAATATCCTCTACGACTGCAGTCATGCCTACTATTATGACAGCATGAGAAGAGAAAACGCTGAACGAATCAGGTAGACTAATAATTAGTACGCAATACATGAATGAAAACAAATTGCTTATATAATGTTTTAACTCACGGCCTACAGTAGGCTTCCCATGCACGTGAGCCCCGGTAGCGTAGTAGGTATAGCGACTGCCTACGGGCTGGACGACCGAGGGGTCAGAGATCGAGTCCCAGTAGGGTCAAGAAAATGTAGATCTATACATCCACTCCCCCATAAGCCTTTAATGGCGTCGTGCTTTCATTCGTTGAACACAGGGACAACTGTACCTGTACCTTCCGTGTACAAACAGTATATAGTTAGGTACTACTTTGCGACATATTTGTGATTTTAACGCTAGAAGTGACTGTGGCAACAGCTGTATTGAATCGCACATACTATTTATGTACAATATACTTATACTGAAAACAACAAAATACAATCAATGGTTACGTTCAACAGCATAACACATTCCTCATGTGAAGTAGCGTGATGTACAATGGTGTTCGTGCTAGTATTGTATTGTATTCCTCGCAGGTCCAATATGTTAAATTGCGTAAATTCCTCTCCTTTATCCTTAACATGATGGTTTAAGGATCACTGGGTAGTTGTCTCCTTCCTCTGTACACCATATCACGCTGCCTGCACGTGAAACGAAATATGTTTTGAGTTGCTCTCTAACAGCATACGCAACGTCGCTTGGTCTTCCCCCTATCCGTGGTATATCTTCAAGACGTAGCGATTCTACAGATGCTTCGAGTTTTCCAGGCTGCCAGAGATATTCGTCATCACCGCAAAGGAAATTGTGCAAACAAGTTGTTGCCAAAATAACCTTATCCAAGTTGTCTGGTGATATTTGTAGCTTTCGCCGGTAAATTCGGAATTTCTTGCTAATTACGCCAAAAGCATTCTCACTCTCTCGCCTAAATCTACTATGCCTATAATTGTAGATTTTGTTACGTTCGTTGTTTACGACTTGGGGCCCAGGGTATGGTCGCATGATGTTTTCTTGGAGTGGGAAGGCCTCATCAGCAACAATAACATGTGGCAGAACTATTTCAGGTTCATTCGGTAAACTTTTAGGAACGGGTATGTCCAGTGTACCTTCGGTTAACATCTTCCCCAAACGAGACCTGAAGAAAACTGCACCATCGCTTGTCCTTCCATGGGCTCCAACATCAACAACTACGAACTTGTAGTCTGCGTCAACAAGTGCTAGAAGAGCTACACTAAACTCCTTTTTATAGTTAAAAAATGTGGAGCCACTTCCACCTGGCTTTTCAAATACCACATGTTTCCCATCCATAGCACCGAGTGCGTTTGGGTACTGCCATTTATCCCATATTCGAGATGAAATATGTCCCCAGATTTCCTTTGTAGGTGGAGGCATAACAATGGGGCTCAGAACCTCCCAGATCACCTCGCATGTTTCATAAACGATTCTACGAACTGTTGTTTCACCCATCCTGTACGTTAGAGCAATAGCTCGAAATGTGTCCCCTTGCCCCAAAAACCTGCAAGAAAATAATCTGTTACAATATACAAAGCATTTTGATATCACATTTTTAACACTTCCACTTGCAATTTACCTCATGCTACATTCTTAAGAAAGTATTTTCTTTCAGCCGAGGAGTGTAAACGAAGGTGAAAGTTATTAAGGGACAGTTACAGAAGGACCAATTTAAAAAAGAAAACAAAAAGCGGGCAGGCGACAATTTTTATAAAGCCGTGGAAGTTCGAAAAACAAATGGCCTTTTTCCATCCCACTTTCCAAGACCGACCACAGGTATCAAACCTGGGGTCCTCTGCAACACAAATGGTAGAGGACGACGACGAAGAAGTAGACGTCGAGAAGGTTTTGGACGACAACGTAAGAGAGCCTTCGCAATTCGAGCAGCAAACTCCACACACTGCAGGAGGAATGTAACCGTCCCACTGCTACGCATCTTATTTAATGTAGTCAACTTTATTAATTTGAAAGGTTAATTGTTCAAAATGAAATGCAGTGAACAAGGGTAGTGAGACATAGGTCAATTCTTGTATGTAAGAGTTAGCGTCTTCCCAAGCTTACAACAAGAAACAGGTAGACACCCGTCAAAGGTTTATTAGAGGAAAGTTGCGTTGGGGAATGGCTAAAGAAATCCTTTGTGAATTCAATACTTGGCAGTTTGTGCATGCCATAACTTAAAAAGAGTGAAGTTTTTAGGGCCCAAGCGACGCTTAAGCATTTGTCAAATTCTGACAGAAATACGTTGGAGTCAAAAATCCTTAAACTGTAGTAAGCTTTAAACGGAGTGGAGGAATATGTAATTAAGATACTCCTATTTTTCAAATACAGCCAATCACTAAGATTTAAGGGTGTGACAGGGCAGTGACGCTGGTGAAAGCCAGGAATTGAATGTCCGAGGAACCGTCATGTTTTAGCGTCAGCCGGAAAGAGGGGCTCGTAAGAATCAGACGCAAAAAGTCGAAAAGCTGCACTCGTTAGAACTAGACGTAAAAAAAGTCACACACCAGGCTCCGAAGCAATTAGACGCAAAAAGTCACACACCGGGACTCGTTAGACATAAAAGTACTGATTTGACGTTGTTATCAAGAAGTGGCTAAACAAGTGTTCAAAAATATAATTCGTCTAAACTTGATATGTGCTTTTGTAGTTAAGTGTTCATTTATTTCTTCTCAAGAGCTGTGGCCCGTTCAAGGCTCTGAGATAAAGAGTCTCTCAGCTCTACCGAATCAACAAACCTCACCTCCTTAAAATAACCCTGAGAATTTAGTACAAGAAAGAAATACCTACAAGTGCGACCAAAGTGTGAGGAAGAAGAGGAGAGGAGGAGGTAGAGAGGGGCGGTAATAGGATCTCCAACAGATCCTTCGCCTATAAGTGATACTGTTGTTCCTTCTCCTTCAGGATCGACATCTTCGTTGTATAAACGAAAAGCTGTTCGTCACTTAAGTGCAGGAGAGGTATTACAAAACTATTTGGCTACAAAACGAGAAGAAAAACAGAAAGAATTAAGACCAACCGATCAGTTATCAAAATTCTTTTCGGCTGTGGAGGAAACTGTACGTCAGTTACCTGTAGATCTGCAACTCGATGCAAAATCTAAAATATTCTCTATAGTGCTGGAACAAGAAAAGAAGGCCCTAGAACGACGACAACAAAGTCACAGCTATCCCACACAGCTCGCCCATTCCGTCCTACCTTTTCAACAACACATCCCCAACCAGCCATCCTATTCGCAGTCACTCCATCCCCCTTTACCACCTATGACCCACCACTCACTACATTCCATGCCAGGGTCCAGGCGACCCCATCCAGAAAGCCCAAGCCATTCGCAATACGCCATGTTTCCTCGCCATCATGATTTGCAAGATCAAAACCAACCCTGTGGAAGTACAGAACACAACAGTCCTTCCTCAGCTAATTAAACTCTGAACCTTCTGTGCAATGAAATAAAAAATGAACCACTCCTGTCACCATTACACATTTCATGTCTATTACGCCGCACAATCACATATACATGTACGTACTTATTATCGTTGTTCACAAATGTTTCATTTTTTCATGTTAATTTAATTGCAATGAATTATTCTATGTAAAGGAGCGATGGTTTGTTTTGTGTCACCTTACTTAATACGGCTGTAAATACTAATAATATAAAATCAACTATCTGGCAATATAAAAACTTCAATGGTTCTGTCATTTAGAAAATAAGTGTGAGAACTAGAGTTACCTTAAGGTCACCGCTAACCTTGGGGTTATAGCCTCTCTAAAATTCATGTTCTTCTTCTCTATGCGTGGCTCTATTGCTAACAATAGCTCACAAAATTTGGCCTAGCTCATGCGAAAGTAGATAAAAGACTTTTTATCGTCTTCAGTTAGGTCGTGAAATATCGTGTGGAACTCTCCGAATTCGTTTCTTTTCTTGTAAATATCGTGCACCCATATTCGCTTTGGCTGATCCTCTTGTAGCATCATAGCTACACAAATCGTTTCTTCTTCCGAAGACGAGTCGGTCATTGCAATATTCTGTACAACATGGAGCGCAAGACTACACGAAAGCGGGCTTGGTTCAACTTGGAGGGGTAAACGTAGTGGGTAACAACTTTGGTGGGGGGAATGCTTTCGGTCCCGTCTCTGACGCTACACGCCTGCAGTGGGCGCACTCGCTGCAGACATACTACAACGGCACTGCACTGTTCTGCTAACCATATTGCTCTAGTGCAGGGGGTGGCAACTGGAATAGGGGAAAGGGAAACACCGTAACTACTGCCTCTAAGGCCGTCTACACACGGAGCTACTCAAAATAAACTGATTAGTGACGCAAGTTACTAACGAGTCCGCAATGAGTCACTTCCAATGTGACTGAATGGAACACCACACACGGCGCTACTGATCACTAACGCGTTACCGACCCGTTAGTAATAAGTTCCAGGCAACTCGGCGGCCGAGTCACTAGGGACTGAAGTAGCTCAGTTCCTTGGTGACTTTCTTCAAGATGTGCGAACAACAGCTGAATACGTTATTTGTAGGAGAAGTTGAAAAACATCCTGTTTTGTACAATTTTACGCTTCCTGGATATTCGAAGAAAGATGAAAGTGAAAAGGCATGGGATGAAGTTGGNTTCATCAATTAAATATATAATGCTCTCCTTACTCCACTCCATTCAGAGTATATAAACAGAGAATCACAAACAGAAGAACGCACACTGGTGATGACTTCACTCCAACTGTCTGGAGCTGATAAGCAAAGCGCGATGCAGCCGCCTACACGTCCAGACTGGCACCACTGCAACCCGAGTCGTCCCTTTGATGCGACGGTAAAAGACCGCTAAGCGAGCGAACAGCCCGTTGCGTATTATTTTACAACGGAAGGATGATACGGGGATACGCAACAAGTCTGGACCCGGCTTAAACAAACCAACTTGAATACCCACAATTACGTGCGGTTATGGTGGTGCATTATATGCAAATTGGTAAGTATGAATTTTGATTTGATGTGGTTGCGAAACGAAAGTAGACATTTGCGAACGAAATTACAGCTCCATGTCAAACATATTATTTGTGTATATGATTATTATGCTTGNACTTAATATGACATCCATCTTCAAAGATACTTCCCAAAAGACTGTCGATGATTTGACTTATTCAGTGTGAAAGCTTTTGACTGGTTTGACTTGACTGATCTAGACGTGACTGGACTGGACGTGACGGGACTGGCTTGGTGTGAAATGGGCCTAAGAGTACCGTGATGGTGTTATAATTTTTGTATTGCTTCTTGCAGTATAAAAATGAAAACTATAACTTGTGCTGCTGCTGGGTACTTGTCATCGAGCAGGCAAGACGTGAGATTCTTCAGCTTTCCAAAGGATCCAGCACGGTATGTCTGTTTTAATTCAGGTGTAATTAGTTTATTATGTGTTGCTTCATCCAATGAATAAATTAAGATATATTTAAGCATCCTGTTGCACTCTATACGATATATGATATAAACTTCGTCTTAAGTGCAACAATTTATTATAGGTCTTTCGTCTTGCTTTCTTCTACATGTTTCGGCCGCAACTGCAGAAACAGAAAGCTGATACTGGTACTGTTATGAAATGACTTTATCTTATATAGATATATATGACTATGTTACCTGGAAGGGATAAGATTATTTGCAATACGTATTGATTGAATATTAATAATTATATGAGGTACACAGGCTGTACATGTGTAAAGTTAAACCCACAGGATGTGGACGGGGAACCACGGTATGAACAAAGTTGGGAAGTTATACCACAGTGGCTTCCGGCGCAGTAGGCTTAATGACGGATGTAGTGGTTACAGACTGTTCTAACAAACATGAAAATTGAAAACAAAAGTTATTACGGGAAATTTGAGACGAGTCGTATATCCTATGACGGACGAATGATGCCAGCAATCACTTGTCAGTTTAGAAGAAGTGGAAATGATGAGGAGGATGACCAACCAATAACTCTTGTTACAATGTTCCTGAGAAAACCAGAAGGTATATAAGATTAGTTACAGAGGAAGTGAAGGACACTCCTTGGTAGTTGATACAAGTAATTGGAGACAGCTAGAAGGTCCGTCCTCCAGGGGGAGCCGCTAAGCGTATGTGGCAGACAGCAGAGAGTAGTTCGGCGACACACCTCTACGGGTTTCCCGCATCACAATGTTGTACATCAGGGTTGCTGTACTTTGTAAGTAAAGAACTGTTGTCACAGCCTGGCTGAATAACCAGTAGCAAGGAGCAGTGATTGCAGTTAGGCAAGAGTGATCAAATTATTATGTTATGCTGTGTTACTACATGAATTGATAAATGTTACTTTCTTCTTTTTGGTTATAAAAAGAGAAAGGTGTTTCATTATGATTGGGGAAGGGACATATCCTCGACCAGGTACCCTAGACCGCACCCATCCTGGCATCATAACAGTATCATAGGGACGCCGCCCGGAATAAAGTTCCTGCTAAGTCGTGTAATATGTGAATTGTAATTACATATCTTTAACACCTATAATGAGATGAAACCAATTATGTTACTAATGTAAATTTATCAATAAGGTTAACCTGTAAAGGGAGTGATACCACATGTATAGGTAAACTCTCTGAAATCTAAAGTAACAATGTACTTTAATTATATTGTATTCACTTTCAGTAAGATTTTGTAAGACAGCTGTTTTTCTCAATGAGGAAACAAGAGATCGATAACCTTAGATCCTCTAAGGTTAAGACACTTAAATGTCCCAAACATAACACGTGCTGCTTATGACTGTCGCTCCACGTGCCTGTACTTTGGTCCTGATCTGGGGCGTATAAACGAAATCTCACTAATACAAGCATCTGCCTCGTGTCATCCAGATTACGTCAGATTCCAGTGTCATGTGCCCAGGCTTTTGGCCGAGCCAACGCCAAGATTATTACTATAAGTACAGAACCTTACGATGGGACGACATCAGACTTACTGATCACGTTGCTGAACGAATCTCTGTTCGCCGACGGTTAGGAGTTATCTGGGTCGTGGACCCTCACATCTGTATCTACTGTGTCTTTGAGGAATCTAGTAAACTTTGTCGTCTCTTCAGCATCCAGAAAGACTTAGTTCTTTTTGCTGATCCACGTCACACCTCATCCTTATTTTCGACAACTAGAGCTTCAACAGGTGACATCTCTTCTGCTGGCGGAATTCATCACCTGGTGCTAGCACTACTAAAGAAAAGATTTACATTACAGTCGTGTGGAGAGTGAACCGCCAAACCGAACCCATGTACCTACTCCANTTAACACCTATAATGAGATGAAACCAATTATGTTACTAATGTAAATTTATCAATAAGGTTAACCTGTAAAGGGAGTGATACCACATGTATAGGTAAACTCTCTGAAATCTAAAGTAACAATGTACTTTAATTATATTGTATTCACTTTCAGTAAGATTTTGTAAGACAGCTGTTTTTCTCAATGAGGAAACAAGAGATCGATAACCTTAGATCCTCTAAGGTTAAGACACTTAAATGTCCCAAACATAACACGTGCTGCTTATGACTGTCGCTCCACGTGCCTGTACTTTGGTCCTGATCTGGGGCGTATAAACGAAATCTCACTAATACAAGCATCTGCCTCGTGTCATCCAGATTACGTCAGATTCCAGTGTCATGTGCCCAGGCTTTTGGCCGAGCCAACGCCAAGATTATTACTATAAGTACAGAACCTTACGATGGGACGACATCAGACTTACTGATCACGTTGCTGAACGAATCTCTGTTCGCCGACGGTTAGGAGTTATCTGGGTCGTGGACCCTCACATCTGTATCTACTGTGTCTTTGAGGAGTCTAGTAAAACTTTGTCGTCTCTTCAGCATTCAGAAAGACTTAGTTCTTTTTGCTGATCCACGTCACACCTCATCCTTATTTTCGACAACTAGAGCTTCAACAGGTGACATCTCTTCTGCTGGCGGAATTCATCACCTGGTGCTAGCACTACTAAAGAAAAGATTTACATTACAGTCGTGTGGAGAGTGAACCGCCAAACCGAACCCATGTACCTACTCCAGAACAGGATTTCTCTGACCCGAGGTCGCTGCTGAAGACCGACTTATCCGTCTTCATAGAGCAGATTGTTAACATTAATTATGAACAGAGGAGCGTTATATAAGCGAGTAATAAAGTATATAGGCAGATTTACGTCCAAACCGGGGATTTGTAAATTATTCAGCTAAAAATTCCGAATGGAAGCTGACAGACCTATAGTTGGGTACAACAGGTCCACTGCTTTTGGTCTGAGACCGGCAGTCCAACAGCAAATAGAGCAATGTTGAAAGATGACATTTCAGAAGCTAGCAGATCGCCTTTCTTAAATCCGCTAACCATAGTCCAGCGCGAAGATTGGACACTATACCCAAGATATTGACCCAGAGAGCCGGCCACTGTGCTCCAAAGACGACCACCCCCCACCGAAACAGAAGCGAGATTATGACATCTATGATAGAATATGATGACAGGCGGACTGTTGTGTCCAAGAAAGATATGGAGACTACCGAATTACATAGCTTACACCAAGGAAGTTTTCAAAACCTAGAAGCTTTAAGTTTTATAGAGTGAACTGTTTGTTCCCATCTTATTGTTAGTTGTCATTTCATCATACTTTGCCGGACTCTTTCGTATGAACTGAAATTTTATTAACTTAAAACTACGTAATATACAAACAGATCCGGGAGATAGTCGCCCTTTTACACTGAGAAGTGACACAGTCCAAGTTTTGCTATGTGGACCGGAAGTAACATCTGGTACACTTCCTGGAATTCTGGCAGTTTCAGCAGAGTCGGAAAGTCTTTGGGAATTTGAGAGCTGACAGTTTGGGGCGGCTATAACTTACAAAGAGGAGTGCCTGAGCCTCATTCCCTGATCTTAATACATCAAGTCGCTGTCAACCTTAGGGTTAGGTCAGTCACTGCCAGAATCACATGATCGGAAATTCACTAATTTAGGGAACCTCCTTTTAAACTAGACCAATAGCATATGTTGCAGTTGATTTCTCTTGGATTCTGTGGTTCGTGGACCTCAGGATTCAGAGAGAGAGCATTCTAACCCGAGGAGTCTTCATAAAACTTTCGGCCGATTGAGACACAGAACCTGCGTCACTTCGCTAGAAGTAGTACAAGATCAAACTACATAAGTGTAAACTAAACGAGCTACTGGTATGTCCAGTGTTAGTTAAATAAATAATTACTGAAAGTGCAACAAGTCTTGAAGTGGTGTACGTGATTGTAGCATAAGGATCTTCCTGCCGTTCACAATCCAGGCCCGTATCACCCTCGATAGGAACTCCTCTCTACCATTAAGGAGCAGAACCCAGCTACTCCCGACTTTCCCTACTTGCGAGACGCCTTAATAATCGTACAGAAGACCCCTTGCCTACTACCACCAGCAACCATTATTCTCCTCCCTTCCCACATAACTTCTCAACGTCCACGAGACAGGGAAGGAGGGCAGTGTAACTTCAGTGGAGACGTCCAGGAACACGGCGCAGGTGAGCCGCAGCACAGGGAAAGGAAGGGATACTGGCGAAGGACAGCCACGAGTGGCGACCAACGCATAGTGTAAATTTGACAATGAAGAGGATGGCAGTTGTAAGCGGCAACTAACAGTGGTGCACTCAAGGTCAGTTATAAGGTATCACTATAACCAACTGCATCATCCCAGGCATGAACATTATACGAGTGGTGTACACTGAGCAATATGACAAGAAACGAGAAAGCCCGTGACATATTCTGGGCAAAAACAGCCAGGCGTGACCACCATAGCAACTAGTAATTTTTGGACGACGAACAATATGTGATTGTCGTCACATCACCATCTTAGTATTCAAGGTCATTCCAAGTAGAGTTATAGCAGTGAAATATATAAATAGGAGAATGATGTGATGCGGTCACAGTTTTGTGCACGCGCAGATGGCGATAAAAGATGACAGACACTTAGAACATGCCTCGCGATACAATACTTTATCGCTACCCATTAACCTTCCCATTAACCCTTTTATCTTTCTCTTTAAATACAACACTGCATCAACATCTCATTCAGTCATGTATTATCACGACACTTGCTGCCACTACAAAGCAGTCTGCAACTGTTCTCGCTGTTGGACGGAGTTCGCTCAGTGTCCCACTTCAAACCTTTGTGCCGACAACACTCTACGCCAACAAGCCGCCGGAATTCTTCTTCCTCATCAATCTCCGTTTGACGATACAGACGATACAACCGAACAACTTTTCGGCCAAGAGGAAGTTACAACATACATTGGCTCTCTTCGGGTAAGAACTGCAAATGTCACTAGTTTGGACAGATCAATCATCCAACAAATCCAAATGGCCAACATTCACAACACCAGCGGGGAAAACGATAACACTTCCCCCAAGGAGATATATTCTCTTTGGAAATATCCTCAGCCCACTGACCCAGGAACTTCTACAGGAATATTCGGCCCACCTCCGGGAACATCATACCCTCTCCAAAGCACCGGAACCCCTAGCCCGCCTAAACTCACACCTACAAATTCTCCAAGTCCACATCGACCATCCACCCCAATCGGAGATGAACCTCATCATATCACTCACAAACACATCCAGCAGAACAGTCCGCCAAGCAATCTTCCTAGCCGCCATACGTATACTGGGGATAACTCCATACACGATGTTGATACAGGAAGGATCAACGAAAGAGCCTCTGTTATCATACTCAACAAACGACGCATCTCAAGTGATAACAGTCCTACTAGAAACCAAACTAAACAAAGAAGAACTTCTAACGTCGACACAACCGACAATGGACATCTTTACCACTCCGATGACAGAACTACTTCGCCATCACCGCCCAGCACTCCTTCAAACACAACTGGAAACGATGATCCGAGTGGAAGCCCTCCCATCGACATCCAACCAACCAACCACAACCTCTCCAGATCTATACTACACCTTCATCCTCCACAAAACAACATTCGATGCCCTCCCACCAACCTCCAAAAAGTCCCCCACATTTGCAACATTCGACCATGGAGACCACATCCACATCGTCTTCTCCGTCCGCCATTCAAACAACGTCTCCCGTCACGTCAACTCCATCCTATCTTTCCTTAAAACAGGCTTGTCTGGAAATGCAGAAGCTCATACAAGCCTTCAACTCATCCGCTACACAACCAGATTCATTTCATATCTCATCCGTAAAGGTATCTCAACATTCAACAAGTATGGAAATAAATCCCTTTCCATCATCAAGCCAATCCTAGATGCTCTTGCGAAATATGACATCACTGATTCATCAGCCGACAACATGCCATGTCAGCAATATGTGGAAGAAAAAAAAGACCATTCACAAGGACAACCTCACACAACGTACGTTCTCAATTGATTACATTTCTAATCTTATTATCTCAAACAAAATTACATCATACGAAAATTTTCAGAGGGTTCTTCCAACCGATACAAAAATCCAACTTCTCAAACAACTCGGATACGTTGGTCAAAATATCATCAAAACCCTCATTAAAATTCACAACATCGAGACTCTTCAAAACATCAAAACAAAACATTATTATCAACTAATCATCGACAACTTTCAACTCCACCAAGTAATACCATCAAACGTATCTTGGCTCAAAAATGTATTCCGAGCAAATTCTATCAGCGTATCCAAGTTCTTTTCTCATTTCTTGTTGATACATTCTATGAATATCACCAAGATAAACTCTTTTGTCCTGCAGGGACCAACTAACACCGGCAAATCGCTGCTTATGAACATCCTCCTCTCCGATACAAATCCAACCCGAGTTGCCCGAGAACGAGACAAGTCCAACTTCCACTTGGATCAACTTCCTAACGCAACGAGTGTCGTCTTTGAAGAACCCATTATTGACCAAACCACCGTCGGCACATGGAAACTCTTGTTGGAGGGAGCACCAATCCCAACCGACATGAAACACGCCGACAAAGAGTTATCAATCGCCTTCCGATCTTCATCACCACGAACCAAGACATATGGAATTGGGTCGGTACAGACGACGTCAACCCCATAAAACAGAGGATATTTGTGTTCCATCTCAAAGTTACGATATCCTCCTTGATTTCGCAACAAGCTCAAATTCCCCAGCCTCCAAACATCATCACAAAGCAAGACATATACGCACTATTCCTCCATCATCTCCAATATATTCACGACGAATATACAGCTCTTCTCCAATCCCTTCCCAGCTATCCACGAGCCATCGATGTGTCAGAGCTACCCTAACCCCTTGGGGCACAACACAGAAGAATTGTTCGCCGGCTTGGTTTTCGTTGGAGAAGGACGAGGGATAATAGAAAAAAAAATTGATTGAATGGCATAACACCCGTTCTAAACGCCTGCATTATCAGAGGACAATCAGGCAATATCGCAGAGAAGGTTCGCCTATTGTGTATGTCGATGAAACGTACTTGCACAGTAGCCACACATCATACTCCTGGGATGACTCTTTAAACAAAACACTCTCCTCTCCTGTTGACAAAGGTCCACGAGCAATTATTGTACATGGTGGTGGTAAGCAAGGTTTTGTGGAGAAAGCTTTGCTTATGTTTAAGTCAGGCAGAAAAACAGGTGACCACCACCACGAGATGAATTCTGGAAACTTTGAGAAGTGGATCCAGGAAAAATTAATTCCAAACTTGCCTCCAAGAACGGTGATGGTAACTGACAATGCAAGTTACCATAATATTGAAGTAAACAGAGCGCCAACTTCAAATACCAAAGTAGGTGAAATGAAACAGTGGTTGGCAGAACGGAACATTTCGTATCCGGCTTCGGCACTGAAACCAGGCCTGTACGAATTAATAAAAAAACACAAGTCAGATAATATAGAATATAGACTAGACGCTACTTGTGCTGCTGCTGGACACTCTGTGATACGTCTCCCACCTTATGATCCAGACCTTAACCCTAGTGAGATGGTGTGGGGCACCGTTAAAAATTGGGTGGGCGAAAGGAACGTGACATTTAAGTTGGACGATACAATGCGTCTAGCAGAGGAGAAATTTAATTCCATTTCCGCCGAAGGCTGGGCAGCATATTGCAATAAAGTGGAAAATCGAGAGGACCAGTACTTCGCATGGGAAATGGAACTGAAGGCACATCACAGAAGGGAAAGGAGAGTCCAGAAGATCAGAGGTGCAGGACGCAGACCACAGTGAGGAATTCCGTATACAGAAATAGTTGAGTGTGTGAAATATTGTAACCGAATGTAAATGTGTTAGTAACGTCCAATAAACCCAACGATCAAAACTAAGATACCACAATTACTTGCCACGGAACTCCGGACACGTGACAGTATTATATTCCATACGACAGAACTCTTCATGTAGTGTTTTTGTGGAGTCGTTGTTTGCTTTCCATGCAATACGGACAATTCTTCGTAAGACGAGGCACCATTACACAATTTATTAATTGCAACACCATGATCCTCTCTTAAAATCTTCTATTTTCCAAACTGTCTATGGAAACGCACACAAAGTAAATCCAACGACTGATTTGATGTTTTGAAAACATCATTAATATTTATCTTGTTATATAATACTTTCAATTTTTATGTTCTATATAATCTGAACTTTTGTATTTTTTACATAAACATTTTTAAATTTGTACTATTAATAGTGTTATATCCATTTTATGATTGCAGTTAAATGGTAGTTTTTGTTGATATGTATTTGCCTCCTGTCCGCAAATAACAACCAACAACAGGAACATACCACGCAACGCCGAAGTCAAATACTTAGGTCTTTACCTACACCAAAAACTCACGTGGAGGACTCGCATCAAAAAGAAACGCCAACAGTTAACGCTGAAAGAGAGACAGCTGCACTGGCTGCTAGGAAAACGCTCGCAATTGTCCCTGGAGAACAAAACCCTGTTATACAAGGCACTCTTAAAACCTATATGGACCTATGGCATCGAGCTGTGGGGCTGCGCTCGACCATCCAATACCAAAATCCTCCAAACATTCCAATCGAAAACACTAAGAAGAATCACAGGCGCACCATGGTACGTAACAAACGGAACTATCCACAACGATCTCAACATACCCCTCATCACGGAAGAGATCAGAAAACATGCCACCAGACACCGTACTCGGATAACAGGACACGAGAACCCGCTAATCGTTGAATTAACGAAACCGCACCCAGCAGCAAGGCGACTGAGGACAACCTGGCCAGAAGACTTATGTAACTAAAAGGTACGGTACTGCCAGTGGGCAGCTGCCGCCTTAACGACATAAGCATCCATCGCATTTACTTATTACTTGCAGTGGTCAAGTAGATTGCAAACTGACGTAAAAAAAATGTATTTGCCTGATGATGGCCGTTAGTGGCTGAAACATATAGCAAAGCCACAGCTGAACGCTGACTTTGATGTCTACTATTTGCTGTATTGTGACGGTTCCCNTTAACGGACGAATGTCACAAATGAATGACAGAGGCAGCAACCCGAGTTGGCCTAATGTCACTGATTTATGACACAGGACACGTGCACTCTTTGTCAGTGCTGACGGTTTTATGTTGGGTTTGAAACCAAAACAAACCCACGCAGGGTCATGTCAGAGGTTCATTCCTTAGCTCTGAACATAGAAATCGTTTATCACGGTACTGGCTTCGATAATATTTACGTTTATATATGAGTGTTCGTGACCTGGTCAGCCAAATATAGCACAGCTTTGTTCTGAGACCTGAAAGGGGAAATATTCGAAGTGCTTGCAGATCAGTGCTTCAAGAACTTTCAAGAAAGTGTGAAGTATTCAAGGAATCGTTTTCAGTGGTGAACTATCAGTTGTTTTTGTCTGATGTTAACCAAAATGGCAATGTGTCGACAGATTTTAGTAAAACTTCCCCAGCAACAAATTTGATCCTCTCGGCAGTTCAGTATAAGACACGCACCGGACGGATACGAATGTGGTTAGAAATTCCAATCATCACATCAGATAGTGAGAAAAGTGAAACGTCAGATGAAAATGATGAGTAAATAAGAGATACTAGGTATGACCAGTTTTAATTTTCACGATATAGACTACATTTTTAACATGGACACCCTAGTCAATTCTACATGTACTTCCACGACGAATGGCTAAATTCTTTTCTTCATTACAAATGACTTCGAAAAGAGAACAGTGGAAGAAACTGAAGTGTTAAGAAACTCCTCCCACCACAAGCTATGGGCGGGATATGACTGGGAATGCGGGGCCTTGTCCGAAGTTACTGTGCACTGGCAGCACAGATGGCAAACACATTCGGTTAAAATGCCCTCGAAACTCAGGCAGCCTTTTCTTCAATTACAAACAGTTCCATTCGATAGTTCTACAAGCTGTTGTAGATGCGCGAATGAAATTTATTTTGCTGTGGATGTTGGGGCGTATGGCAAACATAGCGACGGAGGTGTTTTCCGATACTCCACTTTCAGAATTTGGAAACAGACACACTGAAAGTACTTGATGCCATAGCTCTACCAAACAGCGACATAACTGTGCCTCATGTATTTGTTGGTAACGAGGCTTATCCACTAACATCGTACTTATTGAAGCCATACAGTAGAACACTGGATAAGAATAAAGCTATATTCAATTACAGACTATCGCGCGCAAGACGCATCGTGGAACGCGCTTTTGGAGTATGTGCTTCGAAGTGGAGGGTCTAAATAGGCCAACAGAAACGAAAGTAAGTACGGGCGTGGATACTGTGAAATGCATCACCCTTCGGCACAACATAATTATAATGTCGAGGGACTGCACGAACCAGCAGCAGATAAAAATGTGAACGTTAATCAAGCTGATGGTTTCGATCACTCCACATACAATAACAACTGCCAAAAGGATCAGAGATGCGTACTGTGAATATTTCAACAGTCCATCCGGATCCGTGCAATGGTAAGAAGAAGCAATTTGAGGTCAGTATGTTGAAATAGTGCTCAAAATATTTTATAATTTAATTTTATTATATTGTCCAACATTAAATTATACTATGAGTTTATAATATTATGTAATTCTTAAGGTGATATATATATATATATATCTTCGCCTTGTGCTAAATATTGATTACTTTTAATGCGTAATATTTTTTTAAAACATACCTATAACAAGAAGACCAAATCTCAGAGCAAGAGTCTGGCAGTAGGCAAAAGATAGCTGGTGATAGACTGGCCACTGTAATCCTTGAGGCCCAATCTCCATAAGGGAAGGAAGTGTAGCATCTGGGCTAACCAGAGGACCACGGACCACATAGTGCTAACCGCTAGCAGACACCCTGGCGCCCTAGGCCGGCAAACATCCGCTTGTTGTTTTGAAGTTGTCGTATTTTAAGTAAATAAGTATGAACGACATACATACCTATGACCAGGGGGTAGAAACTGACATAGGAGAAGGGGGAAACACGGTAACTACTGCCTCTATGAATGACGGCAGATACTACACAAAGATCTCGACCAATCAGAAAGCCTAAACAAACCAATTAGAATTAGCGAAATTATGTGCGGCGGACGAAACCTCACGCAGGTCTCGACCTATCAGAGAGCCTAAACAAACCAACTTGAATACCCACAATTACGTGCGGTTATGGTGGTGCATTATATGCAAATTGGTAAGTATGAATTTTGATTTGATGTGGTTGCGAAACGAAAGTAGACATTTGCGAACGAAATTACAGCTCCATGTCAAACATATTATTTGTGTATATGAATATTATGCTTACTACCACAAATGGAATTAGAAACATAGAATTCTTTCAAGCCTAAAATTTTTGAGGTTATCATGAACTGTCATGTAAATGATATTTTTTTGTTATGTTCTGCAACTTTCTGTTTATCCCAGAGATTGTCTGTTGACTGTGAAGGAGTTCTAAGAGTACCGTGATGGTGTTATAATTTTTGTATTGCTTCTTGCAGTATAAAAATGAAAACTATAACTTGTGCTGCTGCTGGGTGCTTGTCATCCAGTAAGCAAGGGGTGAGATTCTTCAGTTTTCCAAAGGATCCAGCACGGTATGTGTGTTTTAATTCAGGTGTAATTACTTTATTATGTGTTGCTTAACCCAATGAATAAATTAAGTTTTGTGTATGTCTGTGTTCAATTTATTCAACAGAACCCAAAATTTTAGAATGGGTACCAAGTTTGTAATGTTTACTGAAGAATTATTTCTAGGTTTTGAGACTATTTGTTCTACTTTAACAGGGCTGCGGTATGGGCAGGAAAAGTTGGAATATCCTGCACTACTGATTCTGCTAGAAGGCTGCACAATAAATATTTATGCAGCAAACATTTCCTGGAAAGTGATTTCACTACATCTGAAAGGGTACACCTGAACAGACTGGCAGTTCCATGTGACTCAGATTCTGCTTCACAGTCATGCCCACAATCTCCTGTCCCTTCTTTACATACACCTTCCTTGGATCCTTTGCCCTCGGTTATAACTCCTACCCCATACAGCAAGACAGTGGTGCACGCGACTCTAACGTCTATTCCTATACATGCAGACAGTCCTTCCACTTCCTCTCAGATGTCTGCAGTCCAACAACCACCAACAGTAGCTAGCCAACACGTTTGCAGCGAAAGAAACCTCTCTTCCCCTAAGCTCAGTAAATACAAATGCTTGTGATGGAGAACTCGGGCATATTAGTTGTCAAAGTTCTTCCTAAAAGCCTAAAGCAAAGCATTATCTGCTAAAAAAAACTTAATTTGGCTTCACTTTCAGAGTTGTCACCGAGAGAAAGGAAATTATGTGAACATATTCGGAATAGAGTGCGCTCTGCAAACTCAAAAAGAAATATAAGGGGAAGAAGCTGAAAAGGCTCTGTGATCCAGTGATGCAGTCTTTCATCTTCTTTCAGTTTATGGGCTGCTAGATTTTTGGCAGCAGTGTTTCGGAACATCAGACAGAAGCCTAAGGGCAAGTCTCTCCTTAAACGTAGCCCTAAATCCTATATCCTTCTTCGTTTCCGTTCGCCCCCCCTCACATACAGATTATCCTGAAATTAACAACAAATGGAAACCTCAGTATTATTTCTCCCTATACATGATTTATAAAAAAATATTAATGTATCTGAAAAGCTATGTTCTGTGTAGCTTTCAAGTATAAGTTGTAACCCACAACCAGGAGAGGTTAACCGTGGACACAGACGCCAGTAATATCGAAATTCGAGTACCCTGTCAAAT